GTATAGAACACTTTTTTTTCTTCTTCTAAATTATTTAATGTGCATTTAACTTTGCAGTTTCCGGGGAGGAGTGGACGTCGAGGAAGATGGCCGATTAAGTTCGTGGCTCCGGCGCCATCACCATTTATTTTGCTTAAAGAAAACAACCTCCTACTTAACACAGCAAAAACCCAAGAAATAATCATCGACTTCAGGCGAAAGCCACAGCCCAAATCACCTCTATCTATCTCCGGCAAACTCATTTCCACCACAGAATCACTCAAATTTCTTGGCACTCACATAAGCAATAACCTCAAATGGAAAGACCAACACAGACCACATCTACAAAAAAGCCAACCAAAGGCTATTCTTTCTGCGGCAGCTCAAGAAATACAGAGTGAGGAAACATCTCCTAATCCAGTTCTACACAGCCATCATCCAAAGCATCCTCACATCATCCATCACAGTCTGGTACAGCAGTTCAGACAACCTCTCCCGGAATAAACTTCAACGTATCATCAATAAAGCATCAAAAATCACCTGCAGTCCCCTTCCATCACTTGAATCACTTCACCACCAACGAACTGTCACAAGGGCAAAGAAAATCATTTCTGACCCCTCCCACCCAGGTCACCATGTCTTCCAACTTCTGCCCTCAGGGAGGCGCTACAGGTCACTGTCCGCCAAAACCGCTCGCTTCAAAAACAGCTTTTTCCCCTTTGGAATACGGACACTAAATGGACTCTAAATAACCCCAATGAACAATAACAATCCACCACACCTTGAACTTTATGTTATGATATGTCTTTGCCCTGTGCTGTGTGTTGTACTTTTTATTGTCTGTTTATTGTATGTTGAATTGTATGGAACAAGCTGTAATACTCTGCACTGAACACGAATTCCACCAGCCTGGCTGTGTGGTCATTAAAGATTCTCTAATCTAATCAAGATACAGGAGCCGTTGTGTATTTTATTATGTGATGGTTTTAGTTAAAATATCGACTCTTTGTCTGTAGATATCTACTAAACTGAAGCATACAAATAAAGAAAGTAATGTAGGCCTGTTATAATGAGTGATATATATTATACACATTGCTCTGCTTTCTGCACGGACCTCACAGCTGTTCTCACTGAAAACATCGGGTCACGATCAGGTCGCGATGAAAGCAGTTAATAAAATAATATCCAGGGGATGCATGCAGAGCTGTCATTGGCTGAGATAAGTCTGGCTGTGCGGCACGACTCTTTGAAACATCGCTGTTGCCGGAAATAGATCCGCGGAGGATCCACGGACTGGCGCGGAGGACCCATCAGTGTATCCTCGATTATAGCTCCTCCAGAGAGCCTCCTCGATGCTCGATCCTCGAAGTGTATTTAGAGAAATTAGATGTCCTTCAACATGGCGCGCTGAAATCCATTTCCGGGTCACTACCGGAGGACCGAGGATTCGAAGAGTCGAGGAGGGGTAATTAGTGAAATAAGAAAGGGCCACAGTCATCCTTCTGTTCAATCGGACCACCAGGGTCTTTACCCTGGGGAATCAGGGCCTGTCTTTAGCATTGCAGTTATAGATGTTCGCCTAGGGTGCCAGATCAGCATTTTGGACCGTTGGTGCTCATCCTAATTGTTGGCCTTGATGTAACAACATTCATAATTAAGTAAAGGTAACACCCTTTTCACCCCGGTTACACTTTTCATTTGCCCTGTACGATGGGCGCTGTAAGTGATGAAAGTGGGGGATACCGGCGCTGTTGTTATTAGCACCTGGTGCTAGCTGCGCTAACGGATATAAGAAGAAGATGTTTCTACAACAAAGGTGGAGGGGAGCTCTCTCCTGACAGATATTTAAATTATTTAAAGGAGACCTATCATGCTATATTTAAATGATATAGTGTATGACCATACCTATATAAGGTATATTTATACATTTTATTTTTCAAAATACCAAACAGATCATTTTTTCGTTTCGCTCATTTTCGCTCTATTCCAAGCCTGTCTTTGAAAATTCTGAGCAGCAGCTGACCACGCCCCCCTGCAGAAGAGCGGGGCATGAGCCGGCGAGAGTCACGTTACCATGCTTGCTGTGATTACGTGTGGAATAAACATGTCATCTCAGAGCAATGCATGTGTTCAAGCATATTATCAATTTGATCCAGAGACTGACCGACTGGTTTTGGTGGAGGTGCAAACATCTCGGTTGCAGCAGGACGTTTCTGAATGGTTAGTTGACAAGCTGTTGTCCCTATTTATTTTTACTCGGTTTGTTACGATGCTTGCTACTTATTCCGTTCATATGTTGACTAATTAGCAAGAATGCAATGTGTACAGTTTATAACTTAGAGCAGGGCCCGGACTAGGACAATAAGTCAGGCCGGGAATTATACACCCAGCCAGGTACCAGTTTTTTGTGGCATTTTGCTGGATTTATTTGTCAATATTTATAGCGTTGCTGCCCATAGTGATAGCCCTCTAAATCTACTACCAAAAAATAAACATATGGAGATGGGTTACTATTTAAAAAAATGTGCAAATCTATTTAGGAACTTATTCATGTGAACATATTTTAAGTGGGGGTGGACCTCAAATCCTATAGGGGGGTCCGGGGGCATTCTCCCCCGGTAAGATTTTTTTTTAAAAGTTGGACTTAAATGCATCAATCTGGTGCATTTTGAGGGAGAAATAAAGAGAGAGACTACACCTATATGAAACAGAACTGTATACATTTAAATAATCATAAAATCATAAGAACATGGCCATAACCAATAACATACCATATCCAATATGAAAAAACATTGAAACTTGTTTATTTATTTGTTTTTGGTTCATTTATAGTTGTGGGTGTGCCTGTGCTCCTGAATCAGCCTCTCCTGTCTCCCTCCTCTCCCCCCTGCTCCTCTTTGAGGCAGCAGCAAAGACTAGTTTTAGATCTCAACAAGTTTTTAAAGTTTATCTTACATTTTTTCACCTAGTTAACGTTTTTTTATTATTATTCATCTATATTTTACTAATCACTCCCCCCTCAAATGGAAATAGGTGTTTACATGAATGGTGACCGAACCGTTTGAGACCCACTGAGAACTAAGTTAACTATCTAAACACTCAGCAGAGTCCTTTACCTCACCTGAGCTGTAGTTATCAGTCTCTCAGTCTGACAGGAGAGGACTCTCCTCCACCTTGTTGTTGAAACAGCTCCTTATATCCGTTAGCGCAGCTAGCTAGTACCAGATGCTAACAACAACAATAGCCTACACGTAACCGGTGCGCGCGCTTTCTCTCTCTCACTCGCTCGCGCCACACATACACACACCCTCCCGAGCTTGAATGACACACAGAGACCAATCGAGGGCATTATGGTCTGTATGAAAGTGGCCATGTCGGCAGGCCACATCATGTACAGCCAGTCACCCTCTGTGAGGCAGAGTCAGACCCACATTTGCGCAGCGTTGCGTTCACAATACATACATTTAAAAAATCCTCAGGCCAGCAGGCCACTTAGCAGGCCAGGCCATCGGGAAACCTCCCGGTGCTCCCGATGGCCAGTCCGGGCCTGACTTAGAGCTTGTAATACAAAAACAGCAATACATATATATATATTTATAAAGGGAGACATTCATATTTTCAGCATATATACAATGGCCTCATTGCGTTTATTAATAGTTTACAGTCCTTTTCTTCCAACATCGTGCAACAACCGTTGGAAAGTTCAATAACTTAGCAGAGCTGCCAAGTCTCACCTTTTGAGAGTCAGACCCGACGCCAGAACAAATCTAAAGGGAGGGCATATGATTTTCATGGGAAGGCACACAAAACCGTCACGTGCTGCGGGCCTGCGGCACAATATCAAACAGCAAGGCCAACAGCATTGCGTAAAGACGCACACTTATCGCAAACATACACAAATAAAGGGCAACATAGCAACCACTTTGAAACATTGTGTGCGTGGCACTGGTAAATCACGAGCAAGGCACACTGGTTACGGATGGCAGCTTCCTCATCGCTGCACTCGGAGAGAAATAGTAGAGACGGAGACGATGAACTGTTTAGCCCGCCTTGGGCATGGTTTATGTTCCTATGCACTGCACTCGGACATGCTGTGGAGTGAATCGAGTCACCTCTGAGAGGGAGTTGGTTGACAGCTAAAAAAGCTATAATATCAACGACAGCTGACACGTAATAATGGTTTAGTGCAGCTGATCTGCACCAAAGTTCTAATTTCCTTATTTGTTTCCTCGCGTATCTCTCTCTCTCTCTCTCTCTCTCTCTCTCTCTTCTCTCTCTCTCTCTCTCTCTCTCTCTCTCTCTCTCTCTCTCTCTCTCTCTCTCTCTCCTCTCTAGCTCTCTCTATCTCTCTCTCTTCTCTCTCTCTCTCTCTCTCTCTCTCTCTCTCTCTCTCTCTCACATGAAATGTGTTCTTTTGATGCGGCATGCATTAGCAGTCTTTTATCAGTCTGCAAAAACCTTTGACAGTAAAAGCTGCATCAGATGAAGACGTATTGACTTTAAACTGTCTACAGTGGTCTAAATGGGGACGAATCACAAATCACAACAGACACATGCATTTATTTGACGTAGCCTGCGATGTGTTGTTGTTGTTCTGACATCACATACATCGTAGCATAAAAGTTCACAGTTTATAATTTAAAAAATGAAATATATATATTCTTTAATTTTTATAAATAATAAAAAAACGTGTTTATTGGGGGAGGGCAGGAATGTCAAATGGGAGGGCCTGGCCCTCCCTGGCCCTCCCACGGCGCCGGGCATGTTGAGAGTGAGAGTCACGCAATGTAACCTCTTCACACGCCTCACGCCACACTTGCCATTTCACACGCTTTTCCCCCTCTCACTACTTTATAATTATTTTTTAATTTAATGATATATTTCCATAACTTGTTGCTTGAGGCTTGCCGTAGTTCGAGTCAGGGACAGGGTGAGTCCGCCCTATTCTGCCCCCGATTGGCTGACCGAGATATGTGATAACCAATCATCAGCCCTCGAGGCTAAATCCAACCAACCCAACGAAAGGTACCACGTATACAAACCAATCAGAGGCAGCTTAGGGCGGGTCATTGTTTCTCTATCCTATGAAGAACAACATAACTCTATGGCGGAGAAATCGAAAAGTAAACGTGAAACGTCTGTGTCAGCGCCTCAATAATGCCGTGACTGACATTTTCATCTGAAGCGGGAGGTCAAACGGTAGGTAACCACATTATTTGTACAAATATTTTTATTTTGATGAAGTCAACGGTGGGTCTGACTACGTGAGACTTAACGTTACACAGGCTGCTGGTGAGCAGTGTGGCAGGTTGCTGCGGTGGGTTTAACAACAACCGTGACTAATAGCAGTGTTAGCTAAATCATCACGTATTTGCTTGTGTGATCTAATGGATACTTACTATGAGCTAAGGAAATGTACAGTACTCTACCTGTGCTGTTTGCATTTCTGTCTAATAAAATATTCAATCAATCAAACAGTAACATGTAGCTATCTTTTGATCCAGAGGATCTGACTGTGGATGTGGGATACTGGTTTAAAGGAAGCACCAATCGTAAAGGTTACCTGACAGGTATGTGCAGTCCAAATGAAATTCAGAAGAGTTAAATTAAATTGAAATTAAGATGTTCCATTCTTGTCATAGAATTCTGTGAGCTCCATGGAAGCGAGTATTTGGAAATACTTATGCACGTTTCCATTCGATGGTTGAGCCTGGAGAGGTGTTTGACTAATACCCTGCAGCAGTATGAACCACTGGCCAGCTACTTCAAGTCATCAGGTAGGCATCATATTTCAATGATCCAAATGAACGAACGATTATTATAACAGACTGAAAAGTAAATGTATGTAGTATGCACAACCTGTGTTTTTTTTATTCACAGATGAGAAACAACCAAGGTTCAGGAGGCTGTTGGAAGCATTCTCTAACCCAATGACAGAGGTGTACCTGCTCTTCTATCAAGCAACGTTGCCAGTCTTCTCCACCTTCAACCTCCTCCTCCAGAGAGAGAAGTCCTCCATCTTCCTTCTACATGATGAGGTAAATTGGGAAGGTTGGGATACAGTATGCTAGTAATACAGTATGCTAGTAATAATGTACTATGTTTGTTCCTTTTTTCATCATCCGCAAGTTTCTCTCGAAGTTTCTGAAGCCCGCAGCACCGGGAATTGCATGAAATCCTCTATAAGGACCCATCAAACCAATTGCCAGGTAATCCTCCAAGTTTCACATCAGCAGATGCACATACACTATCCACTCACTGATCTCACTCACATAATACTGTTTGTGTTTGTTAGAGGGCTGCTTGTGCAGACAAGTTATGAGTTTGATAATGTCATCTCATCACACACATAGGACCACAATGGAAACAAGTCCACAGGACTTTTTTATGTTATCCTTTTAGCACAAATGTGTGACTGAACCTTGTGCTGTTTGCATTTCTGTCTAATAAAGTATTCAATCAATCAATCACTGATGTGATGAAGATACTTAAAGGGGTGCTTTCAAGTTAGCTATTGTGGTTGTTGATGATTGCTAAAGTGACTCAACACCGGTCTTATTCCCAGTCTCATACTGACATGTTGGTGTTGGGAATGAGAACATATTGCATCAATCTTTCTCCAGAATCGCATACAGCACCTTAATGACCTCTGTGACGTTGTTGATTTATTGTGTCTCTCGTAGGAGAAAAGCTGGTGATCGGCTTCACTACTCGAGCTACACTCAACAGGCTCCTTGATGCAGGAGATATTACACCGCAGCAAGTGCAGAGGTTCCAGCAGGCAGCAGTGGCGTTTCTGGTGAGGGCTGTGGAGTATGCCATGAAGAAACTCCCCATGAGAGAGCCCCAGATAAAACATGCCATGTTTCTGGATGTCCAGCAGAGGGTAGAGTGTGGAGTGGAAGACACCTTGTACTTTGTCGACAGGTTAGTTGGGGTATCAAGTCAAGTACATTTATTTATAGTGCCAAATCATAACACAAATTATCTCAATATGCTTAAGTAGAGCAGGTTAAAGACTCTTGGCTCTTGTCACATTTTCTTAACATGTTCTTAATAGATTGTAAAGTTTAATGACCACATCTGAAAAACAACCCGTTTCAGCTACATTACTTTACCAGATCAGTGCACATTGTGTTCTTTTTAGGTTTCCTGAACTTCTCCCATACAACGGACCTGACGAGCGTGACAAACTGAGTGAGGAGTTTCTGGACTACCAGTCCATGGACATTGCCATGCCCGAAGACCCAGCCACGTTCGACATTGAGAGCTTTTGGGGGAACATGGCATCAATGAAGAATAAGGTAAGAATTATTCTGCACCCTTTGAAATACCCATTGACGTAATCAACTTAATTCTATACAAAAATACTTGAGAGTAATTAGGCTTCCTACATTTTTCAAAGGTGACCGGTATGAGCAGATTTGGGAGGCTCTCTCGTATTGCCAAGTTGGTGTTGGTACTTCCACATTCAAATGCTGATGCTGAACGAGTGTTCTCTGTGGTGGGACTGAACAAAACCCGAAAAACTGTTTGGCTCTTGATGGAACTCTATCATCCATCATGACTGTGAAGATGGCAAACCTTGAGCCACAGTGTTTCAAATGGGAGCCCCCTCCCTCTGTCATCAAGGCATCAAAATCTGCCACAAACACCTACAACATGAGACATGTCATGTAAACCAAAACACACAAACAAAGACATGCACTTAATTTATTTATAATATATATTATATATATATATATTATTCTGGTTCTAATTTTGTTACTCTTAAAAAAAAAATGCACCAAAGGAAAAGGCTGCTATTGGTTCTTAAAAGGCTGCTATTATTTCTTAAAAGGCTGCTATGTTTTTTTTATATTGACATTTTATAAATAAATGTATTTTATTTGTCAAACCTTTTCTTGTTACAATTGTTTTCATTTTTACTTGTGCTGGTCAATTATTAACACTATATAAGCATGAGGAGGCCGACAGTGCAGGGAGGGCAGCTGGCATGGGGGTGAAGACATCACAACAGTCTTAATGTTCATTTAAATTGAGATATTCCTCTAAATCGACGTTAAAAAAGGCAACAAAAAAAATCGAAACGCATCTTCCCCCGAAAGTCTCACTCCTACTTGTTACTGAAACTTGGCAGCCCTGAACTTAGGGGGATAAAAACTATAACTCCATCAACACCTCAGTTGTCAGCAATGTGTGCAGTTTCATGTGTTTTTAAAAGCTCAGTTATTGACTTCTTTCTACAGGTGTACATGTGCAAATTGCGCCACGATGCCTTCTGAACGGAGAATGTGTGCTGCATGGAGATACCACAGGTAACATTTTTGATAGCTTCACTAAGTTGTCCGTTTAGAGAATACATTTTTAACATGTCATTCAATATATGTTTATCACACTAGGTGTCAAGACGGATGCAGGAACTTGAGGACTCTGTAACTTGTATGGTGGACCATCCTGGATTGGAGCCTGTGTGCCTGAATGTGTTCTCCCTGCAGAATGCATTGAATATTTACAGAGCTGAACATGGTGGACTACAGTTGAGGCAAATAGAGCAGTGAGTGGTTTGTTTGTTTTGACTGAAATTAAATTAAAAGTAAAACGAATGCTAATATTGTTCATGGAAATAAATACTGGTGTATATGGCTTTATGCAATCTTTCATTCTGTCATTGTACATGTACTATTATATTATATACTACACAGCAATGGCATAACACACCCATGTGTACGACAACAAAAGTCCACACACAACCTTATGCTTTTGAAATCAGAATATTCTTTACCCATCCAAACATGAATAATCACGACACATTTGATATCAACTCGGAACTTTATTGTCAAAATCAACGGTTCTTTGAACCCATTAAAAAAAACTAAATGTACTTGTATTTTGTATAAATGACACTAAATATTTTTTTTAATGATTTCAGGCGTCACAGGTATCTAGCCTACAGAAGCTTTGTGAGCTGGTGCTGGGGCTTCCTTGGACGCAGGATCAGAGTGGTGATTCCGGCCTGCGTTGTCCTCAGGGAGGCAGGAGTTTCCTGATCCGCAAAATGTCGATGTTGGGTTCAGACAGCAGCCAAATTGAACCGTGTAGCATACCCGGCGATGACCTCCTCCCTGTCAGGTCGCTCATAATGGTGCAGGGTCAACAAAGACTTGGTCGAAGATGAGGTCCATCAAGTTGGCCACGTAGCCTGTGCAATGTTAAAAAAAGCACAACAAAAATTGTGGTTTAGATTAGTATATGCATGTAAAAAACTGAAAGTTCTTTCTAATTTTTTTATTTATATATTTGTAAATAGTTGTATAATAAATATTTTAAACACTTGCGGAATGTGGGGTCAGTCTTTACTGGTTTTGCTCTGCATTCTCCCTTCCTGGCCTTTGGGAACTGCAGTTTATACAGAGGGTTTCCAGTGGATGTAGTGGCTTGTGCACGCTCAGCGTTTTCATTGTAGTGCAGGACTGCCAGGTACAGTCTTTCATTTCCGCCATGATAAAAACAAATGTAAATAATAGCAAAGGATGTACAAATTGTCACTAATTAGTAAGTATGTGAGGTGCTGGCCTGTAAAGAAGAAAACATAGTTAGAACAAAATCATCTCAATTTAGTATTCAGGATGAGAAAATACTATTTGGATAAATATAGTCTGAAATCCCAAAAGATGGGGGCTAAAACTCTCTATTTAGCAAAGCTCTTTGCTTAGCCTTTTCCAATCTGAGTTAGTTTTGAACCGTAACGTGCATGCTGTGTTTCTGACTCAATACAGATGATGTGTTGGAGAGGGGCTGAGCTCAGTAGACTGGCTGTAATGAGTGCTAGCCACTAATTAGCCTGTTGCTAGGTAAGGCCTCGTCAACAACAACATACCAACGGGGCTTTAGTTCTGTTTTACTCGTGGTGTGTGTGTCCCCTTGCATACATACACACAGTGTTGTATCCTAACACACCCCCATTTATATTCATGTGCGCAAACAAGTAAACACACAAAAGCTTTTACATATAACGCTGCAAAAAACGGCATGTCTCATTAGCGTAGCTTAGCTTAGCTTACAGATCGATGATATCTGATCGTTCTTACAGACTACAATCACAAAAGCTTTTACATATAACGCTGGAAAAAACGGCACTTACCTACAGAAGATTACGTTTGTGATTATAACTTACTCAATATGATTTTAGAGGATACAAAATACTAATAAATAGGAGAATAAATACTTGTGTTATCGGCTAGGGCGTGGCTTTACAGCCTTCACACAGATCGCCATTATGGCAGTATGTCTGAACATGTTAGCAAATGCCTGATAATTAAAATAAAAGACAAAGCAAAGACTGCGGAGCGTACAAAATAAAATGTTACAAAAACATATAAACACCTAACCCAGGGGTCTGCAACCTTTTTGACCAAAAGAGCCATTTTGCTCCTTTTTCCAAAACATTTTTTTGTCTGGAGCCGCAAAACATATTTCATAGTTTTTTATTGTTGTATCAGACAAAAACTATTTTTTTTGCATTTATTAGGCTATTTATTACATGATATACAACTGTTAACCTCTAATAAGAAACAAAGAACTCCTATAAGGAGAATTACAAATAATACACAGGCCTACTTTAAAATAAATTAAACACAGCACTTGGGGAGTCCTCTGCACATTTGAAGGAAAAAAATATTAAAATGGGCCCACTTTGAAATAAATAAAACATATAGCTGCACCCTAAAAAGAGTTAAAGGTAGGGTAGGTAAGAATTATAGACTGTATGGTAAGAATAGAGAAACCAGCTCTTCCTCAGCTCTTCCTTCAGACTTTCTTACGGAGGAGGGACTCTCCCTCCTCCAACACACACGAACGTGCACATGACCAATGAGGGCACGAGATAAGTTTGTGCACAGATGGAAGGCTGACAGGCAGGTAGGCCATCCAGTTACTTTAGCCGGGCCGGCTCAGATGATTGGTCGTGCTTTTTACAGCGCTACGGCTTCCACAGATGAATTTTTGTATGTATTTATTGTCAAAGCATTTAATATATTCATTGCTATCGGGACGTTAAGAGCATTCCATGGAATATAACAAGTGTTTTCTGAAATAAATGACATACCCCATTGAATTATGACTGAAGATCGTCAGCTCTCCCTTGTTGTTCCTCGATACGTAAAGGCTGCACCACCGTTAACAACTTCTCTCTACATATCAAACAGACCGGTAAACCAGCATCGTTTGCTGTGAAAGCATATAACTCTGTCCACGCAGAATTAAATCCTGTGTTCCTCCGGTACTTTTCTTTGATGTATCCATAGCTCGCCCATCGAGCCGGGGGTCAGGTTACTCGCCTCCAAGAAAAGGCGCAGGATGTGACGCATATTTTAGTTGACAAAAAGTGTAAATGTGTAAAGTGTAGCAGCAGCTTGCGTTTCTCTTTTTCTTTGCATTTAAAAATAAAATAGAGAAAATAAATCAAATGAAAATATGTGCATCTTAAAAGTGCTTAAGTTTAGATACATAAAATAAAGTGTAGCAGCAGCTTGCGTTTCTCTTTGTTAACCGTTTCACATAATGACTTAACAGTTTCAGACGATTATAGAACATATCAGTCTTTCTTTACACATCATAACAATTGAACAGTTTCTCTTTCTTTCCCTCATATATTGCAGTCCCTCACTAGCTTTTTTTTTGTTCAGTGCGAGAATTGAGCTCGAGCTTGTCCTGCCAGGATTTTAAATCTGGGTTGAAATGATGTCAGGGCCATTCTCATACACACATGCAGGTTCTCATTGGTTAGCCTGGAACGATATTTTGTTTTAATAATGTTCATTGTGGAGAAAGCTGCCTCGCAGCTGTATGTGGAACCAAACATGGTGAATATATATAGAGCTACTTTCCTCAGACCTGGGAAAGCTGTCTCAGAGACTGTTTTGAGCCAGAAAGTGACAGGGTCAGTTCTTCCAAATTGCTCTTTCAGGGCCACGTCTGCTTGGAGATCAACCAGTTGCATCTGGAGAGGCCCAGCATTTGCCCACTTGAAGTGCTGTGTGACTTCCTTTGAGAACTCCCTGACATCTGTGATAAGAAATGGGTTCTGATTCTGAATGAACATGGTGAGCTGCCGTCCAAAGCTGAAGCTGTCAAAACGTTTGCTGAAGTTTACAATCAGCTTATCTACAAAGCCAACAAAATAAGACACATTTCTCTGAACCTGTTCCTGCACTGCTGGGAAGTGTGCACAGTCTCCCTGCAGATCTTCCTTGAACACTTCAAGTTTCCTCTGAAAGGAGCGGACAGCTGTCATCAATTCACAAATTGAATTGTCCTTGCCCTGTAGCTTCAAATTCAGTTCATTCAGATGCAAAGTGATGTCAACCAAAAAGGCCACATTATCCATCTTTTTCTCATCTTCTAAAAAGAGAGAAAACTGTGTTGCCTTCTGACTTCCCATCTCTGCCAAGAAAGCTGCTACTTCCCTTCTGATGGACCAAAAGCGCTCCAACACCCTGCCTTTGCTGAGCCATCTCACATTGTTGTGCAGCAAAAGATCATCAGCGTTTGCATCAACTTCTCTGAGGAATTCCCTGAGCATGCGATGCTGATAGGAAGAGGACGCCCTGAGAAAATTGATCATTTTCATCATTGTGTTCATCACCTCAGCATGCTCATCTGACAGGGAGGAGCACAGGACAGATTGATGGATGATGCAATGGTAAGAGATGAGCTCAAGATTATCCTCTTTCATTCTTGACACAGCTCCTTTCTCTCTCCCTATCATGGCAGGGGCTCCATCTGTGGTTATTAAAACCACTTGTTTTGGCTCTATTCCTCGCTTCGTTAACATCTCCTTAATGGCCAGGTAGATGTCCTCTCCTCTTGTACTGGTCTGAAGGGGAGTTACACCTAACATGTCTTCACAGAACGCTTTCTTGTCTTTGTTGAAGAACCTTACATAAATTAAGAGCTGAGCATTGTCAGAAACATCAGTGGACTCATCTACAGCTAAGCTTACACAGGGTGCCTTATGAAGGGCTTCATCCAGCTGGGCTAGCACATCCTGGGTTAATACTTCACTCCTCTTTGTGGCTGATGATGCTGACAAAGGTATTTGCTTAATTTGTTCACAAAGCTCTTCTTTTTGTTTTCCCTCAAGCAAGGTTTGAGCTACTGCACTCATGCACTCCTTGACAACCTCTCCATCAGTAAATGGTTTTTTGTTTTGACCCAAAATCCAAGCCACTCTGAGGGAAC